TAACTGCCAACAAACTCACCCTTAACATTGACAAAACTTTCTATATTCTGTTTGGCAATAAATCCTCTAGTCAAATAAATCTCAAAATAAACAATACCCAAATTTGTAACAAATTAGATGGCAAATTCCTTGGCATTCTCATTGACTACAAGCTGAATTTCCAGGGACACATTCTAAATATATCAAAAAAAGTTTCAAAAGCTGTTGGCATTCTTTCTAAGATCAGATATGTTCCTCGCCCTGCCCTGGTGACTCTCTATTACTCCCTCATCTATCCATATCTCAACTATGGTATTTGTGCTTGGGGTTCTACTACCCAAAATCATTTACGTCCTCTAATTACTCAACACAAAGCTGCTATTAGGACAATATCAAACTCTGGCCCCAGACATCACTTGGTACCCCTACTCAAATCTCTAAATATGTTAGATATTAAGTCACTGCACATTCTCTCATGTGTATTATACATATATAAAACACTGAACTGTAATGCCAATCCTGACCTCAAAAGCTTCATAGAAGGTTGTAACAGAACCCATGAGCACCACACCAGAAATAAATACAGTTTTGATATTCCAAGAGTACGACTTAATCAAACTAGAAATGCTCTACAAATCAAGGGGAATTAGAATGTGGAATGACCTTCCCAACCATGTTAAAGACTGTACCTCTCTCAACCAGTTTAAAGTAAAAACGAAGTACTACCTAATAAATTCCCTGTAACCTACCTTACCCCTCTATTGTCAACCCATGTCTGCTTTTTTAAAAAACAACGCTGTTTGTCGACCTAATTGTTATTTGTGCTGCTTTTTCAGCCATGTTCCCCCCCTTTTTTGTCTTTATTTTTATTTGTTCTCAACACATTTTATTCTTTATATCCAATTAGTATTAAGTTTTAGTCATTAATGTTAAATTTTTCCTGCCCGAAACACTTTGCGTAATAGTGGCTTTAGGCATTGTATGTACTAGCCCTAACTATAAATCCATCACTCTTTGTAAAATCTCTTGTATGTATGTACCTTACCTAAATAAACATTTTGATTTTTTTTTTTAGTGGCTTTAGGCATTGTATGTACTAGCTCTATCTATAAATCGATCAAATTTTGGAAAATCTCTTGTACACGTATGTATGTACCTTACCTGAATAAACATTTTATTTTATTTTATTTTTTTTTTTAAGAATAATTATAATGAATAATCATTATAATGATAAAGTATTAAATCAATTACAATTAATAGTTACAATAGCAGCAGTCTCCGTGGTGTAGTGGTAAGACACTCGCCTGGCGTTCCGCGAGCGCTATGTCATGGGTTCGTATCCTGGCCGGGGAGGATTTACTGGGCGCAATTCCTTAACTGTAGCCTCTGTTTAACGCAACAGTAAAATGTGTACTTGGATGAAAAAACGATTCTTCGCGGCAGGGGATCGTATTCCAGGGACCATAGGATTAAGGACTTGCCCGAAACGCTACGCGTACTAGTGGCTGTACAAGAATGTAACAACTCTTGTATATATCTAAAAAAAAAACAAAAAAATAAAAAAATTACATCTATAGTTAGTAATTGAAAGTTGCATTATTTGAATTTACACTAATTACAATTCATGGTAATATTTCTTAGCTATCTGCAGGCTTAGCACTTTGGGGGTTCCGGCGGAGCACCCCCCATCCCGTGAGGGCCAACGGCGCGGAACCCCTAACCCCGAAGGGCAAGCGGCGGCTGGCCGCTGTAACTAGGAATGTGACTACTCGCACTGTGGCTGTAACTGTGCCCGTGACAGGTTTTCCTGACTGATAAAGTTACCAAGCCATGATATTCCCACGCCGGCCGATGTCTCAGCCCACCCAGGGGATGGAGGGGACTGCACCAACTAACCAGGAACCCGTCAGCCAAGAACACGGTCCTGGGAACAGTGCATCCAGATGTGCAACCAGAGGATCCAGATCCAGAGGAACATGTCGGGTGTGTGACGAATCTCAATGCATTAGAAACGATAGAACCCTACGCCAACACAACAACTGTGAGGGTTCACAGACAGTACCTGTAGAGAGAGAAGGCCCACAGGTCCCCTCAGCACCCCCACACATTCCAGCAAACTTCGTGTCATCAGATGACCTCCTGGGGGCCATCAAAGCATCCACGACCAGAACTCTTCCCCCACATTCCTAAAGCAGCACGCCCATTTACAGCAGGGAAATATACAGACCTTCTAAGGAAAGTGAATGAACGGTCTGCAAATCTTAATGCTGCGGTCACCATCAAAGCATGGCATAATTTGCTCCTGTTTGGCAATATTTGCTTAGGCGTACCTGCAAGGGGAGGTAAGTCACTAGCCTCATCAGTCACTAGGGCAATAAATAATTTCCCCAGAGCTGACAACTTGATCTTCATCCCTCCTTAACACAAAAACCGTCATGGCAGACCCAAGAGTTCCAATGACAATTTTAAACTAGGAACACAAATGACCAAGAAAAATGAATGGAGCAACACAGTAGGAGCAATTAGGTTACTTACCAGCGAAGACGCAATCGCCCCTAGAAATCCCGCTACCGCCGACTCACTGAGAGAGAAACACCCTCCTAGAGTACCGAGGGTGCCCACTGCTCAGGACACAAATGTCCCGGGCATGGGACCTCTATTCCTCCAAGCGTCAGAGGTATACAATGCCATCATGTCATTTCCGCCAGGCTCAGCAGGGGGATACACTGGAGTAAGACCTCAGCACCTCAAGGAGATGGTAAATCCAGTTCTCGGCGAAGTTGCCAAGACACTATTGTCAGAGGTCATGAAGTTTGTCAACAACTGCCTCTCTGGGTTGATCCAATATACATTTAAACCCTTTTTCTTCGGAGCATCCCTTTGTGCCCTTAAGAAGAAGGATGGTGGAGTCAGACCCATTGCCGTGGGTAACACACTTCGGCGCCTTGTTGCTAAGACAGCTGTCAGAAAAATTAGCATAGACGCTGCAACGATGCTTCGACCCTATCAACTAGGTTTTCGTGTCCCTCATGGCTGTGAAGAAGCAGCTCATGCAGCACGAGCCTATATCAAGCACCTCCCAGAAAATAAGGCATTAATTAAATTAGCCTTTAAAAATGCCTTCAACCAGGTAAAAAGGGATGTGGTACTGGAAACAGTTCGAACAAGCTTTCCTTCTCTACTCCCCTTCGTCTCAGCAGGGTACAGTAGAGAATCGGCGCTGTTGTTTGGGGAACATGAAGTTGTTTCCGCAGAAGGTGTCCAGCAGGGAGACCTGCTTGCCCCTTTCCTTTTTTGCATGGCTGTTAAAGAGGTCACAAGCAGGTTGACCAGCGAACTCAACATCTGGTTCCTGGACGATGGCACCCTGGCAGGGACACAGGAGTCCCCGCTAGAAGATCTACAGCTGGTGAAATCTAAGGGAGAGGAGTTAAGACTCACCCTAAACCCATCAAAGTGTGAAATCATCTCGTCCAGCCAACCAACCATAGATGCAGTGCGAATCATATTGCCAGAAGCCCAAGTGATCGCTCTCACCGACAGTGTGCTGCTAGGGGCACCTCTGGGCTTGAGCGCCATTGAGGTAGTCCTCGAAGAAAAGCTGAACGACCTGAGGAGGATGGAGGGAAGAATAGGGGCTTTGGACGACCACGATGCTTTGTACCTTCTCACAAGGTGCCTGGCTTTGCCCAGACTGACCCTTTTTTTTTTTAGATATATACGTACAAGAGTTGTTACATTCTTGTACAGCCACGTACTAGTATGCGTCTCGTTTTGGGCAGGTCCCTGGAATACAATCCCTGCCACGAAGAATCGTTTTTACAACCAAGTACCCATTTTACTGTAGAGTTAAACAGAGGCTACAGTTAAGGATTTGCGCCCAGTAAATCCTTCCTGGCCAGGATACGAACCCATGACAAAGCGCTCGCGGAACGCCAGGCGAGTGTCTTAATTACCACTACACCACGGAAGCGTAAATCTATTGGTAAAACTAGTAAAACTGGACCTATTTCCTAAGGTGTGCTCCCTCCTTCGACAGCCCAAAATTAACAGAATATGACTCACTCCTAAGGTCAATAACCGTGAAAGTGTTATTAAACCTCTCCCTGCAAGATGACCAATGGGATCAAGCAACGCTCCCAGTTAGACTTGGAGGTATAGGTATTCGCAAGGAGACACAGTTAGCATTGCCGGCATTCTTATCCTCGACCAGTGCTACAGGTGAATTAGTTAAGGAAATACTACCGGAATACCTAAGAGGCTCCATTGGGATTCATGATCCCAAATTCGCGGAAGGAACCGGTCAGTGGGACATTCTTGTCAACTCTCACCCTCGACTGACTTTTCCAAATTTATTTATTTATTTATTTATTTATTTATTTATTTATATACAAGAAGGTACATTGGGTTTGAAAGAATACATAGCATAGTATTTACAATCTTGTAAACCCACTAGTACGCGCAGCGATTCGGGCAGGTCCTTAATCTAACAGATAATTTTAAGTAGGTAAATTCGAGCAGAATTAATAAAATGATAACAGATACATTGCAAGAAAAAATGAGATGAGAGAGATTAGTAAATATAGTAAAGCACATTGGTATATTAAAGCTTTGATTGATTACATTGACAACTTTATTGGTAATTTAAACAAGATTAATAGACACCATACAGCAGATTGAAAGCACATAAAAGAAGACATCAATGATCACAATGGTAAAGATGTTCAGATTGGGTACATAAGGATTGGGAGATTGGGTAGCAATAGATGCGGTGCAATTTTAAAGCAAAAGGTAAAAAACTATAACGATGAAATTAGGTACTTTTTAGTTTTGTTTTTAAATGACGCAAAAGTTGGACAACTTTTCAATTCATTAGGGAGTGAGTTCCATAGACTGGGTTCCTCTATTTGCATAGTGTGTTTACACTCTAAATGTTAAATGACTGCAAACAGTCCAAATGGGTTGTACATGTTGAGTGTTATACATGGTGAGTTATAAGTTATATATGTTGTGTTCTTCAGCGTGGAGGTGTTGACGTGGGCGGAGGCCGGAACAACGCTGGTGACTGTGGAGGCCGCCGACGACGACCAGCTTCAGTACAACCGTCACCTCCACTTCTTCCAGGCCGACCCTCACACACCCTTCCACCTCGACCCCTTCCTCGACCCCCCGTGAGTATACACCGCTCTGCCACCCCCTGAGTATACACCCCTCCTCCACCCCCATGAGTATACACCACTCCTCCACTCCCTGTGAGTATACACTGTTCTTCGACCCCACCGAGAGTATACAATGCTCCTCCACCCTGTCTTACTGTCACCCCTCCAATATTTTCCAGTTTCCAGAACAACTTCTTATGGGGAACTCTGTCGAAAGTCCTTTTTAGGTCCAGATAGATGCAGTCAACCCAACCATCTCTTTCCTGTAATATCTCTGTGGCTCGATCATAAAAACTGAGTAAGTTCGTTACACAGGATCTTCCAGATCGAAAACCATACTGTCTGTCTGATATTATATCGTTTTCCTCCAGGTGTTCTACCCATTTAGTTTTAATTATTTTTTCCAATATTTTGACTATTATACTTGTCAATGATACAGGTCTATAATTAAGGGGGTCTTCCCTACTTCCACTTTTGTAGATTGGAACTATGTTAGCCTTTTTCCACATATCAGCTACAACTCCTGTAAACAGGGATGCCTGACAAATCAGTTGAAGTGGAATGTTAAGCTCAGGTGCACATTCTCTCAGAACTCATGGTGAAACTCCATCTGGGCCAACTGCTTTGTTCTTATTTAGCTCCTTGAGCTTTTTTTTCCACTTCATCTCTAGACACCTCTATGTCAGATTCAGATTCAGATTCAGATGTGCTCTATGTTGTTCTCTAGAATTTTTATTGTGTTTGGTTCCCTGAAGATTTAATTTTGTACAAACACATTTTGGAACTTTTCGTTTAATGTTTTACACATTTCCTTTTCATTTTCTGTGAATCTAATTCCCATTTTCAACCTCTGAATATTATCCTTTACCTGCAATTTGTTGTTTATGAATTTATAGAATAGACCTGATTCTGTTATATATTTGTCTGCAATCCCTTTTTTAAAATTTCTTTCTGCCTCTCTCCTCATTGCCGTGTAGTTGTTTCTCGCATCTTTGTATCACTGGTATGTTTGGGGGTTTGGCCTCTTCCTGTATTGATTCTATTTTTGTGTCTTTTGGTCTCTGGCCCTCTCACAATTTCTGTTGAACCACTCCTGTTTCCTAGTTCTGCATCTCTGTTTTGGTATAAATTTGTTCGTGCCTTTATCATATATTTCACAAAACTTGACATACATCTCATTCACTTCCTTGCCTAGCAACAAGTCTGAACAATTATACTCACTAAAAAAATTTCTAAGGTCGCCATAATGTCCTCTCCTGAAGTCAGGCTTTTCAACTGCTTCAACCTCCTTATTTTCTTATACCAGGGGCTGTGCCCTGGGTATGCAGGTTTGAACCCTGATCGGGTCATATAGAGTTCTTAAATATATATGTATATGAGGTCAAGCAATTATTCCATTTCCACTTGTAATTGTAAATTGAGCCAAGCTATTGCATCATGAGGTCAAGAAATTATTCCATTTCCACTTGTAATTGTAAATTGAGCCAAGCTATTGCATCATGGTTCAAGACTGATAAAAGGTTATACTTTTCGTGCTGAGCACCTTATATGACATTACACAGCAGGCCAGGTCCTGGAGCTGAGGACTGGCCACTTGCAACATTGCATTCTATGTATACTGTGTGGTTACTACCAATAATGTTAGGGATGAGGAGTATAAGGAGAGGTGTGTTACAGTGCGTGGTCCCCGGTGCTGGTGGAGGCGGAGAGTGGGCGTGTGTGTGTGGGCAGGACGCTCCACCTCCACGCCTCTCCTCTGCGTCTCCTGGTGGGCGCCGTCGACGGTGGCTCCCCGCAGCGCTACGCCCTCGCCAACCTCACCGTCTACATCAGGAACATGTCAGGTACAATAGTCTTTGTCAGGTACAGTAGTCTTTGTCAGGTACAGTAGTCTTTGTCAGGTACAGTAGTCTTTGTCAGGTACAGTAGTCTTTATGTCGGATACAGTAGTCTTTGTGTCAGGTACAGTAGTCTTTATGTCAGGTACAGTAGTCTTTGTGTCAGGTACAGTAGTCTTTCTGTCGGGTACAGTAGTCCTTATGTCAGGTACAGTAGTCTTTGTGTCGGGTACAGTAGTCTTTCTGTCGGGTACAGTAGTCTTTGTGTCAGGTACAGTAGTCTTTATGTCAGGTACAGTAGTCTTTGTGTCAGGTACAGTAGTCTTTGTGTCAGGTACAGTAGCCTTTATGTCAGGTACAGTAGTCTTTGTGTCAGGTACAGTAGTCTTTCTGTCGGGTACAGTAGTCCTTATGTCAGGTACAGTAGTCTTTACGTTGGGTACAGTAGTCTTTGTGTTGGGTACAGTAGTCTTTATGTGGGGTCAATGGGCCGATGTCACGAGGACAAGGGTGCATCTCATTCATTCTATCCCAGGGCTCTGGGACAACTGTGGCATTTTCTTTGGCAATGATGGGCTTGAGGTAATTTGCAGAGGTTGAACCACATGCACAGATACTGTATTTAAGATAGTGATAGATTAGCGTGTAGAATAGTGAGAGGAGTGCAGAGTGTGGAACATCTGATTTTAGAGAGTATACCAACCATTTTTTAGATATTTTTGGTTATGTGTTGTATGTGGGTGCTGAAGTTGAGTCTCTTGTCTAAGTATAGGCCAAGGAACTTTCCATCATTTTTATTGCTCATGTTACCATTGTCTATCTGAAGCTGAATTTCATTTGTTGATTTACTCCCAAATAAAATGTAGTACAGTAGGTCTTTTCTATGTTTAGTTAAACCCAAATTTTACTACAGTGCACCAAAAAAAATCCTCAAATTATGCTACAATGTACTTAGAAATAATCCTCAAATTTTAGTAAAATATACCTACTGTTTTCTTACAATGTACCTGTTAACTTTTTTCAATTTTGCTACAAATTACCTACTTAAAATTATCTGTTAGATTAAGGACCTGCCCGAAACACTATACGTGTTAGTGGCTTTACAAGATTGTAAAAACACCAATGCTATGTACTTTCCTAAAACCATTGTACCTTCTTGTATATATATAAATAATTAAATAAATAAATAAAATAGTGAGTTTATTGGTTGACATCCATGAGTGGACCTTTTAAAAATATTATTTACAATATTATTTAGTGTGTGGTGGGTGGGTTATTATGTTTTGTATTATTTATATATACAAGAGTTGTAACATTCTTGTACAGCCACCAGCACACATAGCATTTCGGGCAGGACCTTAATCTTGTGTTCCCAGGAATATGACCCGCCAAATCGTTTAACAACCAGGTACCCATTTTACTGTTGGGTGAACAGAGGCTACAGTTAAGGATTGACACCCAGTAAATCCTTCCCGGCCAGGATATGAACCCAGGACAAAGCACTCGTGAAATGTCAGGCGAGCACCTTACCACTACACCACGTGGACAGTATAAATAGATGAATAGGATAGATGAAGGTAGTATCATCAGCAAATATGTATTGTATGGGTCGTTAAAGGAATACATAACAGAGTTTGCTTGTGGCAGCCCCGCTTGATGTGGAGGTGAGCAACACCAGCGACTCCACCATGACGGTGTGCTGGTCACCCCCTGCACACGGCCTCCCTCAGGGCTACCTCCTCACCTACACACCTGCCCTGGCTCATCAAAGCTACAGCAAGGGTTCCCTCAACCACACCATGGCACAGCTCCAGTCTAAGGTAAGCACCTAGTGTATACATGACTGATGGCATTCTCTCTCTACATCACTTTTCATTCTCAAGCTTATAGCATCTTAGACCAGTGGTAAAGTCTACAAACTACTCTCTCATGTAATACTGTATAACTTGATGCTGTACTCACAAAACTCACTATAATAAATTAAATTTTTTCCAAGAGCTCAATACGGTATTTTGTTAACTCGCACTCGCATATATTTATCTTTCTCCTTGTCAAGATGCAGGTGATTGGTAGCAATGGCAGCTTGGATGAGGAGCAGACAGCCAGAAGTGGGGTAGAGATGAAGCGGTACTGTGCTATAGTGGACGGCCTGGTCAGGTGGACGGAGTACCTGGTGGGCGTGAGAGCATGGTCGGGCGACCAGGTTTCCATGGCTGCCACACCCATCCTTGCCACCACAAGAAGTGACTGTGAGTACAGTTATCATATTCGAACTTAATAATATTTGCCATCCTTCACTTGCAGAATGTTTGGATGAGCAGTATGTTCACTTGAATAAATGTTCCTTGGTGACGCTTAGAATATAAGGCATCATGAATGTAGAATCAGCAGTCTTGACTCCAATAGTGGTTCAGTGACAAAAATTCTGGATATACAATAAAACTTTCCCCTCACCATCGACAGTCATCATCATACAAAGATAACTCAAACAAGACGCTACAGCCTGGCTACAAAGCAGACAATCACCAGCATACGAAGATAATTCTGCCATCCTTGTCAAAATATTTGAAAAGCTAATCTATAAGCAGCTTTTCTTATATCTAGCCAAACTCAATATACTTAGCTCTTGCCAATATGGTTTCAGACCCAATAAAAGCACTAACGATGCACTTATTAGTATTATTAACTTGAAACATATAGCTCGTGATAAAAATGAGTTCCCGGTTGGGTTATATGTGGAGCTACGCAAGGCTTTTGACACTGTCAACCACCAAAACCTTCTTACATTACATCATTATGGAGTCAGAGGTCACTCCCTGCAATACCTTCAGTCCTACCTTACTGACAGGCTCCAGTATGTTTCTGTGAATAATTCAATTTCTCCTACACTACCCATAAACATTGGTGTTCCACAGGGCAGCATACTTGCCCCTCTCCTCTGTCTCATCTACATTAATGACCTTCCAAATTCCTCTCAACACCTCAAACCAATCTTATTTGCTGATGACACAACTTTCATTTTCTCCAGTCCTAACCCTCTTGCTCTAAATGTCACTGTGAATACTGAGCTAAATAAAGCTAAAGGCAATGACTCATCGCCTGAGCTAAATAAAGTCCATCTTTGGATAACTGCTAACAAACTCACCCTTAACATTGACAAAACTTTCTATATTTTGTTTGGTAATAAATCCTCGAATGAAATTAATCTAAAAATAAACAATATACAAATCAGTAATAAAGTTGATGGTAAATTCCTTGGTGTCCTCATCGATAACAAGCTGAATTTCCAGGTGATACATTCTAAATATAGCAAAAAAAGTTTCTAAAACTGTTGGTATTCTTTCTAAAATCAGATATTATGTACTTCACCCTGCCCTGGTGATGCTCTATCTCTCTCAGCTATCCTTATCTCAACTATGGTATCTGTGCTTGGGGTTCTACTACCCAAAATCATTTACGTCCTCTAATTTCCCAACACAAAGCTGCTATTAGAACAATATCTAACTTTGGCCCCAAACAGCACTCGGTACCCTTACTCACATCTGTGAATGTTTAAAATGTTTGTTTCAAATTCAAATGTTTATTCAGGTAAAGTACATACATACAAGGGGTGATACAAATATTGATAAGTTTATAGATAGAGATAGTATAAACAATGCCTAAAGCCACTATTACGCAAAGCGTTTCGAGCAGGAAAAACACTAAAGACTAAAACTTAATACTAATTGAGATTAAAGTATAAAATGAGTTGAAAAAAATATAAAAATAAAAAAGGGGGGAACATGGCAGAAAAACAGCAAAAATACAATTTGGTCGACAGACATCATTATTTCAAAATAACAGACATGGGTTGACATTATAAGGGTAAGGTAGGTTACAGGGAGTTAATTAGGTAGTGCTTAGTTTTTATCTTAAATTGATTGAGAGAGGTACAGTCTTTAACATGATTGGGAAGGTCATTTCACATTCTAGGTCCTTTGATTTGAAGAGCATTTCTAGTTTGATTAAGTCGTACTCTTGGAATATCAAAAAGGTATTTGTTTCTGGTGTGGTGCTCATGAGTTCTATTACAACCTTCAATGAAGCTTTTAAGGTCAGGATTGGCATTACAATTCAGCATTTTATATATATATATATATATATATATATATATATATATATATATATATATATATATATATATATATATATATATATATATATATATATATATATATATATATATATATATATATATATATATATATAATACACATGAGAGGATGTGCAGTGACTTAATATCTAACATATTCAGAGATTTGAGTAGGGGTACTGAGTGCTGTCTGGGGCCAGAGTTGGATATTGTCCTAATAGCAGCTTTGTGTTGAGTAATTAGGGGACGTAAATTATTTTGGATAGTAGAACCCCAAGCACAAATACCATAGATGAGATAAGGATAGATGAGGGAGTAGTAGAGCGTCACCAGGGCAGGGCGAGGTACATAATATCTGATCTTAGAAAGAATGCCAACAGTTTTTGAAACTTTTTTTGATATGTTTAGCATGTGTCCCTGGAAATTCAGCTTGTGGTCAATGAGAACACCAAGGAATTTGCCATCTACTTTGTTACAAATTTGGGTATTGTTCATCCTGAGATTTATTTGATTTGAGGATTTATTGCCAAACAAACAAAATATAGAAAGTTTTGTCAATGTTGAGGGTGAATTTATTGGCAGTTCGCCAAAGATGGACTTTATTTAGCTCAGTATTCACTGTGACATTTAGAGCAAGGAGGTCAGGACTGAAGTAAATGAAGGTTGTGTCGTCAGCAAATAGAATTGGTCTGAGGTGTTGGGAGGCATTTGGAAGGTCATTAATGTAGATGAGAAAGAGGAGAGGGCCAAGTATGCTGCCCTGAGGAACACCGATGTTGATGGGTAGGGTGGGAGAAATTGAATTATTCACATAAACATACTGGAGCCTGTTAGTAAGGTAAGATTTGAGGTATTGCAGGGACCTCTGACTCCATAATGATGTAATTTAAGAAGAAGGTTTTGATAATATGTGTCTTAGATGTTGGATAACTTTAATATTGTACAGTAGTTGTCAATAATTTTTTCTTCCTGTAGACTGTGCAGAGGGTGTGTGTGGGGTGAGTAACTGTACACTGCAGAAAGTTGCACCCGGATACTCCTGCGACTGTCACCTTGGCTATTATGGGCACGACTGCCAGCACCACAACCCCTGTCTTTCTCACAATCCATGCCAGCATTTTGGTAATAACATCATAATGCAGAAACTAATACCCTGAAAATTATCATTGTATTTCTTGACTCATATTCATCTACATTGCAAAAAGCTGCTCAGCCTATATAAAAGCTTTCTTTCATTTACAGTATTTATTTTTTTCATAAGGAAAGTGTCAGAATGCCTCAGATGGGACGTACACTTGTGAATGTCTACGAAGTTTTTATGGCCCTAACTGCAGCCAGATTGATCCCTGTGCTGCTATTTCATCCAATCCTTGCAGCAATGGAGGTACATGCATCAGGTAGGATACTGTACACAAGATATTTTATGTAGATACAGATTTAAACTGCTGATAAATAATATTAGATTTTTTAAACTTCTCATGGCTGAAAGACAATTTGTTTTTCTGGGTATCCCTATAAATAGCTTCCCTTACCTTATGGCACCCGCTCACTAGGAACATGCAGAGTTCTTATGACTTATATCTATCCACTGGGAATAAGCACATTTTTGAATATTATTACCAAGTCCAATGGGCGGGACTAGCATGTAGGGATCATTGATCAACCCCACTATTAATCACACAGACTTCAGAGGTAAGGAAATGTTCAGCAGAAACACAGAACTCAATAAAGGAATAAACATTGTAGAAAATGTATGAATGGACACGTCTCCATAGCTCATCACATAATGATCTCATGTCCTCCATCATCGTTGAATTTAGAACAATGCAAATATTGCATCCTGGGGAGGGTAAGTAGTTCAACCTTGGGGGACCTCGATTTAAGCATAACATATGTATGGGGGGGACCTTTGACAAGCCGCCGACTTCCTGTCCTCCTCGAGGCTATATATATATATATATAATAATATATATGTCGTACCTAGTAGCTAGAACGTACTTTTCTGCCTACTATGCAAGGCGCGATTTATCTAATAAGCCAAGTTTTCATGAATTAATTGTTTTTCGACTACCTAACCTACCTCACCTAACCTAACCTAACCTAACTTTTTCGGCTACCTAACCTAACCTAACCTATAAAGATAGGTTAGGTTAGGTTAGGTAGGGTTGGTTAAGTTCGGTCATATATCTACGTTAATTTTTACTCCAATAAAAATAAATTTACCTCATACATAATGAAATGGGTAGCTTTATCATTTCATAAGAAAAAAAATAGAGAAAATATATTAATTCAGGAAAACTTGGCTTATTAGGCAAATCGGGCCTTGCATAGTAGGCTGAGAAGTGCGTTCTGGCTACTAGGTACGACATATATATATATATATATATATATATATATATATATATATGTCGTACCTAGTAGCCAGAACTCACTTCTCAGCCTACTATTCAAGGCCCGATTTGCCTAATAAGCCAAGTTTTCCTGAATTAATATATTTACTATAATTTTTTTCTTATGAAATGATAAAGCAACCCTTTTCTCTATGTATGAGGTCAATTTTTTTTTATTGGAGTTAAAATTAACGTAGATATATGACCGAACCTAACCAACCCTACCTAACCTAACCTAACCTATATTTATATGTAAGGTTAGGTTAGGTAGCCAAAAAAAGCTAGGTTAGGTTAGGTTAGGTAGGTTAGGTAGACGAAAAAACATTAATTCGTGAAAACTTGGCTTATTAGGCAAATCGGGCCTTGAATAGTAGGCTGAGAAGTGCGTTCTGGCTATTAGGTACGACATATATATATATATAATAAATATATATATATATATATATATATATATATATATATATATATAATAAATATATATATATATATATATATATATATATATATATAATAAATATATATATATATATATATATAATAAATATATATATATATATATATATATATATATATATTATATATATAATATATATATATATATATATATATATATATATATATATATATATATATATATATATATATATATATATATATAATAAATATATATATATATATATATATATATATATATATATATATATATATATATATATATATATATATATATATATATATATATATATATATATATATATATATATATATATATATATATATATATATATATATATATATATATATAATAATTATTATTAAATATGACCGAAAAAGTAAGATTAATAATTCTAACACGAATTTTCTCAATATTTCTTATGTTTCTTTTCACTGACGATGGTAATTGAAAAATCAATTCTCAAAATTAATTTTTATTTCTAGTCTGACGTGACACTTGAACGCGTTTCATAATAACTTATTACATTTTCAAAGATTTTAGTTTACACACACACATCTATAACCTGCAAACAAATCAAATCAAATCAAATGTTTATTTAGGTAAGGTACATACATACAAGAGATTTTACAAAGAGTGATGGATTTATAGATAGGGCTAATACATACAATGCCTAAAGCCACTATTACGCAAAGCGTTTCGGGCATGAAAAACTTAAATGACTAAAGCTTAATACTAATTGAGCATAAAGAGTAAAATGAAAACATGGAATGAAAACATAGCTGAAAAAGCAGCACAAATACAATTCTGTCGACAAACAGCGCTCTTTAAAAAAAAATAGACATTGGTTGACAATAGAGGGGTAAGGTAGGTTACAGGGAATTTATTAGGTATAGCTTTGTTTTTATCTTAAACTGGTTGAGAGAGGTACAGTCTTTAACATGGTTGGGAAGGTCATTCCACAATCTGGGTCCCTTGATTTGTAGAGCATTTCTAGTTCGATTAAGTCGTACTCTAGGAATATCAAAACTGTATTTATTTCTGGTGCGGTGCTCATGGGTTCTGTTACAACCTTCTATGAAGCTTTTGAGGTCAGGATTGGCATTACAGTTTAGTGTTTTATATATGTATAAACACTAAACAGAGTTCTTACTATGCTATAATTCAAACGGCTTTTCATTTTATATACCTGCATTTGGGTGAGGTGATATGTTACAACAGTTTTGTATGAGGTGAAAACAAACTTTCAACACAAGATAGAACACGAAATATTGGGTAATATTGGGTAAATTTAAAGGGGAAGAATGGAAGTAAATGCAAAGGGCCTATTGGCCCATATTTCTTGATGCTTCAATATTGGTGCGGAGTCTTGAAGTGGGTAGAATATAGTTGTGCATTAATTGGCTGTTGATTGCTGGTGTTGATTTCTTAATGTGTAGTGCCTCGCAGATATCAAGCCACCTGCTATCGCTGTATCTATCGATGATTTCTGTGTTTTTTGTTAAGACTTCTCTGGTGATGGTCTGGTTGTGGGAAGAGATTATATGTTCCTTAATGGAGCCCTGTTGCTTATGCATCGTTAATCGCCTGGAAAAAGATGTTGTTGTCTTGCCTATATACTGAGTTCTTTGAGGCTTACAGTCCCCAAGTGGGCATTTGAAGGCATAGACGACATTGGTCTCTTTTAAAGCGTTCTGCTTTGTGTCTGGAGAGTTTCTCATGAGTAGGTTGGCCGTTTTCTTGGTTTTAAAGGTAAATCGTCAATTGTATCTTCTGATTTTTTCTTTTTTTTGAGATATATACAAGAGTTGTTACATTCTTGTACAGCCACTAGTACACGTAGCGTTTCGGGCAGGTCCCTGGAATACGATCCCCTGCCGCGAAGAATCGTTTTTTCATCCAAGTACAGGCATACCTCAGAATAAGAGTTTAATCCGTTCCTGGAGACGCCTCGCCTTCCGAAAACTCGCATTCCGAAGTTAATTTCCCCATAAGAAATAAAGGGAAATGAATTAATCCGTTCCTGACTACCCCAAAAACCCCACATCAAACTAAATTTTTATACCTAATTTACCTAATTCATCTAAATAAACCTACAAAACTGTGTTCCAGTTATTACTTACCTTGCTGTCGAGTGCTGTAGGCGTATGGAAGATGGTGAGGAGGGGGGAGGAGGAGAGGAGTTACTGTTTGGAAGGGGAGTCCCCTTCCATAATCACATCACATAACCCCATGCCTTGTAACACTATGGATACCACTTCTCTTTCTAAATTTTTCAAACCAGCCCCTGCTTGCCTTAAACTCTTTCTTATCTGCATCACTCGTTGCAGGGGTATTCTTTAGAAGGTCTTCATGCAACACCCTGGCTTTCTCACAAATAATGGCCTCCGAAACACTATCACCCCTCAACTTCTTGTCGTGTATCCAAATTAATAACAACTTTTCCACTTCTTCAAGTATTTGTGGTCTTTGTGCCGTTAATGTTCTTACTCCTTTTGCCACTTTAGCACCCATAATCTTATTTTTCTTCTTAAGTATAGTGCATATTGTTGATGTGGCTTTGTTGTACTGCCTACAAAGTTCAACAACACGTGTACCGTTCTCATGCTTCCGAATGATCTCTTGTTTCTCCTCTATTGTCATCCTCACATGAGCTTTCTGGCCTTTATCCTTACCACTGGCTTTCTTGGGACCCATGGTGAGATATATAATAACAAATTGTATAGACAAATCACCAAAAATCCAACAAAACACTGAAAATCCGCGAGAAGAATTGATGTGGGGGTAGTCACTGAGCGCGAGACAATGGTAAACTGAGGGGCGGAGGGGCGACGATCGCCGAACCACCACGCGCTAGGTCGGCCTGTACGCGTATCAATAAACTCGCGTCCCGAAGTAACCCTCGCCTTCTGAGACAAATTTTTGGAGTAAATACTGCTCGCCTTCCGAAAACCTCGCATACAGGGATAATCGCATTCCGAGGTACCACTGTACACATTTTACTGTTGCGTTAAACAGTTAAGGAATTGCGCCCAGTAAATTCTCCCCAGCCAGGATACGAACCCATGACATAGCGCTTGCGGAACGCCAGGCGAGTGTCTTGCCACTACACCACGGAGACTGATTTTTGTCTGTAGGGATAACGTTTCTATTAACAATATCTTTCAGGACCCTTTCCTCCGTTTTATGAGCTGTGGAAAAGAAGTTCCTGTAAAATAGTCTAATAGGGGGTACAGGTGTTGTGTTAGTTGTCTCTTCAGAGGTTGCATGGCGTTTCATCTTCCTTATTATGATGTCTTCAACGAAACCATTGGAAAAGCCGCTGTTGACTAGGACCTGCCTTACCCTACAGAGTTCTTCATCGACTTGCTTCCATCCTGAGCTGTGGCTGAGAGCACGGTCGACATAAGCGTTAACAACACTCCTCTTGTACCTGTCTGGGCAGACACTGTTGGCATTGAGGCACATTCCTATGTTTGTTTCCTTAGTGTAGACTGCAGTGTGGAAACCTCCGCTCCTTTCCATGACTGTTACATCTAGAAAGGGCAGCTTCACATCCTTCTCCATCTCGTAAGTGAAACGCAACACAGAATTCCGCTCAAATGCCTCCTTCAGCTCCTGCAGATGTCTGACATCAGGTACCTGTGTAAAAATGTCATCAACATACCTGCAGTATATGTCCGGTTTCAAGTTCATGTCGACTAAGCCCTTTTGTTCGATGGTACATATGTAGAAGTTCGCAAACAGGATACCTAGGGGAGAACCCATGGCGACCCCATCTACTTGCTTATGCATGTGCCCATCCAGGCTCAAGAAGGGGGCCTCTTTAGTACAAGCTTGGAGTAGTTTCCTTAGAATGTTTTCTGGTATGTCTTGACATACCTTGACATTCTTGATGTATAACATCAAGAAGTCAACACCAGCAATCAACAGCCAATTAATGCACAACTATATTCTACCCACTTCAAGACTCCGCACCAATATAGAAGCATCAAGAAATATGGGCCAATAGGCCCTCTGCAGTTACTTCCATTCTTCCCTTTAACTTACCCAATATTATACCCATTGTTTCGTGTTCTGTCTTATGTTGAAAGTTTGTTTTCACCTCATCCAAAACTGTTGTAACATATCACCTCACCCAAATGCAGGTATATAAAATGAAAAGCCGTTTGAATTATAGCATAGTAAGAACTCTGTTTAGTGTTTGCAGGTTATAGTTGTGTGTGTGTGTGTAAGCTAAAGTCTTTGAAAATGTAATAAGTTATTACAAAACCCGTTCAAGTGTCACGTCAGACTAGAAATAAAAATGAATTTTGGAGAATTGATTTTTCAATTACCATTGACAGTGAAAAGAAACATAAGAAATATTGAGAAAATTCGTGTTAGAATTATTAATCTTACTTTTTCGGTCATATTTAATAATATATAAATATATATATATATATATATATATATATATATATGTCGTACCTAGTAGCCAGAATGCACTTCTCAGCCTACTATGCAAGGCCCGATTTGCCTAATAAGCCAAGTTTTCATGAATTAATTATTTTTCGACTACCTAACCTACCTAACCTAACCTAACCTAACTTTTTCGGCTACCTAACCTAACCTAACCTATAAAGATAGGTTAGGTTAGGTTAGGTAGGGTTGGTTAGGTTCGGGCATATATCTACGTTAATTTTAACTCCAATAAAAAAAATTGACCTCATTCATGATGAAATGGGTAGCTTTATCATTTCATAAGAAAAAAATTAGAGAAAATATATTAATTCAGGAAAACTTGGCTTATTAGGCAAATCGGGCCTTGCATAGTAGGCTGAAAAGTGCGTTCTGGCTACTAGGTACGACATATATATATATATATATAATATATAATATATAATATATAATATAATATAATATAATATATATGCAACAATGATCACAAAAACACTGATCCAAGTATGCAGAATAACCACATATGAAAAATAGAAAATGCTTAACGCGTTTTCGGCTAATTCGCCTTCATCAGAGCAAAGTAGAATGAGGATAAGATTGCTGATCAGACTTTTATATCCGCCTGGGCAGATCACCTGACCACCAAAAATAAGTGAGAAAGGAATTATAAGAAAGAAGGTAACTGCAGAAGGCCTATTGGCCCATACAAGGCAGCTCCTATTAATATCTCCAAGTGCCATACGTGTTAAATGATTGCTATATTGTTTTGACGTGCTATATTGAGGCTTAAATAGGGATCCAACTTGTACATACCGGGGCTCACATTAAGGCTGTTGTTACAATGTTTGATCAGAGCAGACTCGATCACGTTTCGTTCAACAAAATCCTTACTTTTAACAATACATTTTGCCCCTGTGAAGTCGATCGACTTCACAGGGGCAAAATGTATTGTTAAAAGTAAGGATTTTGTTGAACGAAACGTGATCGAGTCTGCTCTGATCAAACATTGTAACAACAGCCTTAATGTGAGCCCCGGTATGTACAAGTTGGATCCCTATTTAAGCCTCAATATAGCACGTCAAAACAATATAGCAATCATTTAACACGTATGGCACTTGGAGATATTAATAGGAGCTGCCTTGTATGGGCCAATAGGCCTTCTGCAGTTACCTTCTTTCTTATAATTCCTTTCTCACTTATTTTTGGTGGTCAGGTGATCTGCCCAGGCGGATATAAAGGTCTGATCAGCAATCTTATCCTCATTCTACTTTGCTCTGATGAAGGCTAATTAGCCGAAAACGCGTTAAGCATTTTCTATTTTTCATATGTGGTTATTCTGCATATATATATGTCGTACCTAGTAGCCAGAACGCACTTCTCAGCCTACTATGCAAGGCCCGATTTGCCTAATAAGCCATGTTTTCATGAAATAATTTGTTTTTCGACTACCTAACCTACCTAACCTAACTTTTTCGGCTACCTAACCTAACCTATAAAGATAGGTTAGGTTAGGTTAGGTTAGGTAGGGTTGGTTAGGTTCGGTCATATATCTACGTTAATTTTAACTCCAATAAAATAAAATTCACCTCATACATAATGAAATGGGTAGCTTTATCATTTCATAAGAAAAAAATTAGAGAAAATATATTAATTCAGGAAAACTTGGCTTATTAGGCAAATCGGGCCTTGCATAGTAGGCTGAGAAGTGCGTTCTGGCTACTAGGTACGACATACTGTATATATATATATATATATATATATATATATATATATATATATATATATATATATATATATATATATATATATATATATATATATATATAATACACACACACAAACACACACACACACACATACATACTGTATGCAGTATATACATTTCTGACAAAAAGGTCCTGCTCAAACTGGACTTTAAGAATGCCTCTAACATGGTCAGAAGAGATGCAGTGCTTTGTGCCATACCTCGCCATTTCCAGCCCCTCTACCCATTCATACAACCTTGCTACAGTGGAGAATCAAAACTGCTCTTTAGCAAACACAAAATCAGATGATGTGAAGGTGTTCGGCAAGGTGATCCTCTAGCTCCTCTTCTTTTCTACTTAGTCTTAAAAGAAATCACTGATCTTAGTCTTAAAAAAATCATCGAAAGCTTATCCAGCGAGTTCAACATCTAGTTTTAGGATAATGGCACTATAGCTGGCCCCCAAGACCACCTCTTGGAAGACATCAAAAAAATAAATTAGCAAGAAGCAAGCCTGGGTCTCTTCGTAATCCCTTCCAAGTGTGAAGTAGTCTCCAGCAACCCAGACATCATAGATAAAAGAAGACCCATCTTTCCAAAGCCCACGTCATTAGGGCTGTGAACAGCACTCTCCTTGGAGATCCTCTTGGGTCTATTGCCATTGAAGAGATCCTTGATATGAAAATCAGAGACCTCAGGAGGATGGAAGACATGATAGGTGACATCGATGCCCACGATGCTTTTTATCTCCTCATTAAAAGCCTATCCCTTCTGAGGCTAACCTACTTTCTGAGGTGCACCCCCATCTTATAACAGCCCTAAGCTTGAAGAGTATGACTTATTACTGAGGGCCATGCTAGAAAAAGTTGTCAATCTTTCCCTCAATGACTGTCAGTGGAAACAAGTCACTCTTCCTGTCAGTCTCGGCGGGCTTGGAGTCCGCACTGCCACCCAAATTGCTGTCCCAGCTTTCCTGTCTTCTTCTTCAGCATCAGATGACCTGGTCAAGGAAATTCTACCTGAAAACCTGTGTGACTTAGCAGGGATACATGACCCCCACTACATGGAATGTAACACAAAGTGGGGTACATGGCAGACCCAGCACTCAGACCAACCATGTTGAAAGACAAGAAGCAATCCAGCTGGGACAGCCCCATTGTAGGCAAAGAAGCCACAGCTTTGCTGGAGGCAGCAACAACCCCCCAATGATAGTGCACGCCTCATAGCTATGCAGGCTTCCCACGCAGGGGACTTCCTGTTGGCAGTCCCTTTGTCTGCAACAGGCACATGTCTTGATCTACAGCAGCTTCTTATTGCAGTCGCACTTCACCTTACTGCCCCTATCCACACTGTTCATAGGTGTATTTGCGGCGTGGTAGATGCAGACAAATATGGATTGCATGACCTGCACTGTGGAAAATCAGGCAGTTGGCACTCACAACATGACAAAGTCAGCCACCCTTTGAGCCACCCCTCTTCTCTTCCAGTCTTTCCTGTCCTGCCTGACACTGCATTATTTTGGGATCGTGTGTTTTTATTCTGTGTAACAGTGTGTTTTGTGTATCATTGGTGGGTCCAGTGCCACAGTTTATAAATGCTATACAAGGTGCTGCTCAGTAATGGCCATTACAGTCAACTTAACACACTATAATGAAGTATGAGTGGAAAAATGACTAATATAATAGTACCTTAAAGGGTATGTAAGACCTGCCTTAAAATATTACAATATGGCAGGATTACATTGTATAAAAAATAATTCACTGAACCTTGTATAAATGTTTACAAATGCTGCACTCATATACACTAGAGGTAACAAAAGCTAATTAATACATGTTTCTTTACCCTTTTCCATTGACTCCTGAGAAGGTCCCAGGTCCCTCAGTATGTTGTCCGGTAAGAGTTTCTACAGCATATGTAAATAAGATTGTTGTGCCTCCGCACTCTTCATGCCTCTACCAAACCTTACTTTTGTATATACATTGTTTAGACATTGGAGCTGAGATCTGTGTGTACTTTGTATTCAATAACTTTTTTTTATTGTAAATGGTGAATGGTGGTTTAGGGGAATGCAAACAGCTACTTCTTCACAAATTTAAATTTATACTAGAGATTTGAATTAATTTAATTGAAGATGCCTAAATGTTTCTAATGACTATGTTTAAATACAGTATGAACAGCACAGCTTTCCTATAAATGTTGATTTCCTTAATTTTATTACCATATATATTCTTGGGGTTGTCTATACCCAAGTGTACAGTATTGACCAGCATGGCAACTGTGTTCTTGTCATCACACCATCTCATTTTACTCCTCAAATTCTTTTTTTTTTATAGCTATGCAGCATTATACATGCAACATATCTTTGTAATGCTCATTGAGTATGAGGTATATGGATGTATATACTTAATTATGTGTCAACTGTTTATGTTCATGATTCATAGTATACCCTTCGTTGTAAACCTATGTTATGGATTTCTGGATTCCTGTATTCACAGTACTGTGCAGTGTTTTATATATTTACTGAACAGTATATTATATAGACTGTATAGTGTGGTATATATGCTGTGCAGTGTAGTATATGTACTGTACAGTGTAGTGTATATATATACCATACAGTAATTACCTAAGTGGAGTTACAGGATGAGCGCTACACTCTTGGTGTCCCGTCTTCCAGTACTCTTTTTTTTTTTCATATGACACTTTGAAACTACTAATGGTTTTGGCCTCCACCAGTTCTCACTTAACTTCTTTCAACTATCTACCACTATTTGCAAAAGAGAATTTTTTATTTTTTGCAGCTTTGTTACCTTAGAGAATCTATGACCTCGTGTTCTTGAAATTGCAGATTTAAAAAATTCTTCTTTGTAAATTTTGGCATTTCCTGTTACTATTTTGTATGTAGTTTTTAAAGCCTCTTTTTCTTTTATATTCTAGCTTTGGCATATTTAACCCCTCTAGCCTCTCCTTGTAGCTCTAGTTTTTCAGTTCCAGAAGCCATTTAGTTGCATGTTTTTGCACCTTTTCAGTTTATTGATATGCTTCTTGAGATATGGGCACCATACAACCACTGCATATTCCAATTTTAGTTTCATAACAGCCATGAACATTTTCTTTAATATTTTGTCACTGACATATTTAGAAGTGATTCTAAATTTGGAAAGCGAGTTTTATAAAGCATAGCATATGCTCCTCACACAATGTTCTTTGTTTGGTCCTCAGGTGACAGCTTTCTATCAACAATCATCACTAGATCTCTGTATCAGAGTTTTTTAATGACTTCATATAATTTGTAGGTTGTGTGGAGTCTATTTTTCCTATTCCACATTCCTTAACCTGGCATTTATTCACATTGAATTCCATCTGTCATGTGTTTCTCCATATACTGCTTGTTGTGGTCTTTTTGAAGGGCAAGATAATCATCTTCCCTAGTGGCTTAGCATAGTTAACAAACATGTTCATATAATTCTGTATTCTTTCTGGTAGATTATTCATATAGAAAATAAATATTCCTGGTTCTAGAGTACCCTGTGATAGTCCACTAGTAACATTTCTCCCGTCTGATTCGTTGCTTTTGATTACCACTCGTTTTTCTGTTAGAACATTTTTCATCCATGTCAACAGTCTCCCTGTTACTCTTCCAGTATGTTCCAGTTTCCAGAACAACCTCTTATGTGGGACTCTGTCAAAAGCCCTTTTTAGGTCCTCATAAATCCAGTCAACTCAAACATTTATCTACTGTATAATTTCTGTGGCTCTATCATAGAAATTTAGCAGGTTTCTTTCACAGAATCTTCCTCTTCAAAAATCATACTGTTCATACATGAAATACTTCAGAATGAGTTTTGCAAATCGACCGGTCCAAATGTCCTCTGACTTTGTAGACTTCCCAGTCCCACTGATTTCATATTGAAATCCCCAAGTATCAACAAATCTTTATCTGTTCTGACTGTAATCTCTTACATGATTATTATAAAGCCCTCTCTTTTGTCATCTAGTTCTTCATTATTCCATGTATTGCTTGCTGGTGGACTGTAGGTAGTAATGATTATCAGTTTGTCATTCTGATTGCTGATTTCCAACACCATTATCTCAACTTCTCATGAGTTGATAAGTATTAATTCTCTTGCCTTTGTTTCTTCACCAAGATAGCAATGCTTCTACCTTTTCTTATATTTGTCACATCTCCAAATAGCATAACCCCCTCGGGAATACCACCTCACTTAAAATTTTATCTTCCAATTCTGTCTCTGCTATTGCAACAATATCTGGTATCTTAAGCTATATCATTTAGCTCCAGTATTGTTTTTTTTTACCTTACCTCATATATGTTGTTACAAACCATTTTGAGGAACTTGTTGCCAACTCCTTTGCCCTTCACTGCCCTTTCTTCTAACAGTTTTGTTGATTTACTTTCATATACAATCTCATTGGCTTCCCTATCACATTGTAGAAGAAATCTTTATTCTTCATTCCTGTGTATATATACTGTGCAATATAGTATATATACTGTACAGTATATTATATATATATATATATATATATATATATATATATATATATATATATATATATATTTATATATATATATATATAATATATATTTATATATATATGCGAACAAGCTTGAATGGTCCCCAAGCATATGTGCGAATGAAAACTTCACACCCCAGAAGTGACTCGAACCCAGACCGCCAGGAGCACAATGCCACTGGTGTACATGATACTATAACCACTCAACCATCAGTGACCATACAAAAGACGATGATAGCCGAGGCTATTTGACCACCGTCCCAACGGCACTTTGATGGTAATCTTGGGCATAGTTATTTCATCAAATCACCTCACTTTGTGGGGCCAAGTGAGCAACACAAATGCGAACAAGCTTGAATGGTCCCCAAGCATATATGCAAGTGAAAAGTTTGCAGAAGTTTGCGAACTTCTACATGGGTACCATCGAGCAGAGGGTCTTAGATGACATGGACTTGAAACCCATCATATACTGCAGGCATGTTGACGACATTTTTATGCAGGCATCTGATGTCAGACGTCTGCAGCAGCTAAAGGAGGCATTCGAGCAGAATTCTGTGTTAAGTTTCACTTACGAGATGGAGAATAACGGGAAGCTGCCCTTTCTAGATGTAGCAGTCACAGAAAGGAACGGAGGCTTCCACACTGCAGTCTACACTAAGGAAACAAACATAGGAATGTGCCTCAATGCCAGTAGTGACTGCTCAAACAGGTACAAGAGGAGTGTTGTCAACGCTTACGTTGACCGGGCTCTCGGTCACAGCTCAGGATGGAAGCAAGTCGATGAAGAACTCTGTAGGGTAAGGTAGGTCCTAGTCAACAATGGCTTCTCTAATGGTTATGTTGAAGACGTCATAAAAAGAAAGGTGAAACGCCATGCAACTTCTGAAGAGTCAACTAGCACAACACTTGTACCCCCTATTAGACTGTTTTACAGGAACTTCTTTTCAATGGCTCATAAAACCAAGGAAAGGGTCCTGAAAGATATCATTAATAGGAACGTTATCCCTACAGACAAAAATCAGAAAATACAATTGACAATTTACTAAAAAAACAAAAAAATGCTCCAACCTACTCATGAAAAACTCCCCAGACACCAAACAGAACGCCTTGAAGGAAACCAATGTCATGTATGCCTTCACATGCCCACTTGGGATTTGTAAGCCCCAAAGAACTCAGTATATAGGCAAGACAACTTCTCTTTCTAAGCGATAAACAATGCACAAACAACAGGGCTCCATCAAGGAACATATAATCTCTTCTCACAACCAGACCATCACCAAAGATGTCTTAACAAGCAACACAGAAATCATCGGTAAATACAGGGATAGCAGGAGACTCGACATCAACGTAGTACTACACATCAAAAAGTCAACACCAGCAATAAACAGCCAATTAATGCAGAACTATATTCTACCCACTTCAAGACCCCGAACCAACATAGAAGCAGCAAGAGAAAGTATGGGCCAATAGGCCTTCTGCAGTTGCTTCCATTCTTATGTTTTTCATACCCAATTTATACCCATTCATTCATGTTGTCATAGCTTTGTCACCACACCCAAAACTTTTGTGCCATATCACCTCACCCAAAACGAGTATAAGTATGATGTATTTTATGTGTAAATTAGTCTTTGAAAATGTAATAAGCATTACGAAATGTGTTCAGGTGTCAGACCAAAATAAAAAAGTAAAAGAATGAATTTTGGAGAGAGAATTTTTCAATTACCCCTCGACAGTGAAGAAAAACTTAAGAAATATTGAGAAGATCAGTATTAGATCAATGAAGATCAGTGATCAGTGAAGATCAATATATATATATATATATATATATATATATATATATATATATATATATATTATATATATATATATATATATATATATATATATATATATATATATATATATATATTGACCTCAAAAGATTCATTGAAGGTTGTAACAGAACCCATGAGCACCACACCAGAAATAAATACAGTTTTGATATTCCTAGAGTACAACTTACTCATACTAGAAATGCTCTTCAAATCAAGGGACCCAGAATGTGGAATGATCTTCCCAACCATATTCAAGACAGTACCTCTCTCAACCAGTTTAAAATAAAAACGAAGCACTACCTAATAAATTCCCTGTAACCTACCTTACCCCTCTGTTGTCAACCCATGTATTTTTTTTTTTTTTTTTTCAAAACAACGCTGTTTGAATGTAATTTTCTGTAATAATTTGTAATTGTATTTGTGCTGCTTTTTCAACCATGTACCCCCCTCTTTTACCTCTATTTTTATTTGTTCTCAACACATTTTATTCTTTTTACCCATTAGTTTTAAGCTTTAGTCATTAATGTTTTTCCTGCCCGAAACGCTTTG